CCTTTAAGAATGGCTGTTCTCCATGGACCTGGTGAGCTCAGAGTGGCCTAGGAGGGCGTCTTCCTCCAGGACTTTCCTTTTCTTCACTTTCCCACTGTGTTCTTTGGAGATGCTTTGCTTCCATTTCTGCCCCAAGGCTGCCTGCTCCTTGGCCTCCTTTCCCATTGTGCATCCATACAGAGCATCATCTGCCTTACAGATCCAAGGGTCCTAGATGAAGCAGGCTGTGATATCCTGGGCCTTTTTTCCTTCTGCTGTTTTTTGAGCTTCTTGCCAACTCTGGTGGCCTCCTCACCCTATCTGGGATCAGGGGAGGCCTATAACTGTGAGCCCTGCTATGTAGCCAAGGGCAAGGACTTCCTCTTCTTCCCACTGAAGGACTCTGTGTATTCAAGGGCCTGCTTCCTGGGGTTGGGGGACTTGTCTGTCTGGCTCATGATGTGACCTCAAATCCTGAAAGCTCCTCACAAAGGTTCCTGTGACATTTCCTTTTCTTTTCTTTTTTTTCCTTCACCAGGGCACATTGGGTACTTGCCCTTGGCTCACAGTCTTAGGAGGAAATGTGGCACTCACAAGAGAAGTATCAGCAAAATAACTCCCATCATTTACAATTCAATATTGGGTCTCTAGTTCTTTGGCCACCTTTTCTTTCTCATTTTTTCACTGGGAACACAAGACTGTGTCTACTTTGTGGGTCTTGGTGATTATTTCTGCAGGACAAACCTCTATGTAAGATTCCCCACACTCATGTTTATCTTGGCACAGTTTGCGAAAGTAAATCTTGCAAACAGTCCAAATGCCCATCAACAGATGAATGGATAAGGACAATTTGGTTGTTTTATACAATGAAGTAGTATTCTGCCATAAAGAAGCATAAATCTGACATATTTCCAGCCTAATGGATGCACTTTGAGACTATATTCTTAAGTGAAATAAATTGGACACATTTCTGTAAATATTTTATTGTTTCTCTGATGCTAGAAACTGAAGTTTAAATAAAGACCAAAATATATAATATATATTGAGAGATGGGAAAAAACTTTCAAAGGCAAAGGAGAAAAGAGAGGGAGGAGGGGCAAAGAAAGGAACAAGAAAAAAGAGAATAGAGACAAAATGGAAACAAAGCTTTTGTACATAAGGAGGGGAAGAGGGGTTGGAAGGAGTAGAGGGGAATGGGACAAAAACAAGAAGCAAGACATATCATGAACAGGTACAATTTCCCTAAGTGTTATCATATTTATAAATACATAATGTACCCAAACTTTGTAATAAAATAAACATGAAAGGGGCAAATTAATTAATAATATCCATATCCCCTCTCTTTTTCTTTTTATTCTAAATTACACGAGAAAAGTTTATTTATTAATTTGTGTGGGTATTTACCTATTCATTTATTGCATTTTTTTTGGATTTAGCACAAGAATTTAAACATGCTGCACTATTGCTCTGTCACTGAACTACTTTGCTAGCAATGCTAAATGTTTCTTCATAATTTCATGCCCTTTATATACACCATAAGAGGAATTGGGAATGTGGGAACATTTTCCACAGATTTAGCAATTCACTATCATCACAACAAAGCCTAGGGTTGAGAAGGTAAGTTCAATGACTGAGTATCCTAAACATTTACCCAGTTTTGCATCACACAGTGGCTTACCCACTTTCACATCCCTACAACAAAATACGTAACATGCAAAACTTAAAGGAGGATAGGATTAGTTTGGCTCAAAGTGTTAATTTATGATTCACTGGCTTGATGGAAGGAACAGGGCAACAGAGAGAACCTGTACAATATATCCAGTGAGAAAGAAAAGAAAGATGTGAAGAAACACAGACAATAATATGTGTATCTTTCCAAATCACATTACCAGTGACTTACCTACAATGAGTCTCTATGTCCTGATAATGCATTCAGCAACTGAATTCATCAATGGGTAAATACAATGATAAGTATGAAGTCCAGTTAATCCAATTCACCTCTAGCCACCAATATAACCCATCAGTGGTATACTCTAGATACAAAACATAATAGGAAGTCTAATGATGGTATAAGGACAATATACACATATGAGGCAGAAGTCTCCCAACAACTCTCCTTCTACAATGTGGAGAGAAGCGGTACTCAGGTGCCTGAGACAGGTCTCCGGACACTTTGAAGATGTCTCACTGGGGCATTACAGGATACTTAGCTCCTTTTGTCTGTTTAGGCCAACCATGAGGACAAGAAATTTGAAGGGACCGCAGCAATAGTAGGCATATAGAAATAAAGACATCTCAACTGATGCAGGGCCTGTCAGGTCCACCCAATGCTGTTTCTTTCCACTTTCAATGAGATATTATGTTTCCACTACAAACCCTACTCCTGTCTTGAGTCACATGGCCTGCACATGAACCACTTCCATGTCAGGTCTCTCAGGGCCCATCCTTGGGAGAGTGGACCTAAAATCCCTAAAAGTAAAAGCCAGTATAATCCACACAGCAATTCATTCTGAGCCAGGAGGGGCAGTTCTCAGTAACACACTGAAACATTTCAATTTGGGTACCAGACACAGTAAGAGTCTCTCTTCTGGCCAGTGTGCCAGACTGGATGATTTATATACTAACAACCTTTCTTCACTGTTGTAGCGCTGCTCTGTTTTCTGCCTTATGATCCAAGAACAAGACAAAAAATACACTACATGTTTGAGTGGACCCCAAATAACAGGCCCCAATCAAAACCATTTATAGCTCAGGCTTTCTCTTGAGATACTGCTATGAGGCAGGCAGCTTTCCTTTTACATGTTATTCTTTTATGGTATTTCCTCCTTAGAGCCAGGAAAAGTTGGCCTAAAATCCCTAAAATGATGAGCCAATGTAATACTTTTCTTCTTCAGTTGTATATGTTATGTGTAGTACTCAAGGAACAAAAACATAACACAACTCACTTTATGTGTCTGGCTTAAACAGTCTAAATGAGTGTTTTTCTAAGCATGACCTTCACAGGGGCTCTTTACATGTATAAATTATGGCCTGGTCACAACCTATTTTGCATGTATAAACCCAGCATTTTCCACAAATAGCCTCAAGAAACCGTCACTTCAGAAAAATATATTCACTTGGGATACTTAGTTGTACAGGTATAAATTCTCCATGATGAATGTTATCATTATGTATATCTAAAATGTACCAATTTTAATAAATAACAACAAAAACAAAAATTGCAAGTGTCCACTTGGCTGAAATATTAAGTTCTCCTACGGGATCACTGGGTTGGAAAGAGTTTGCATCGAGTTACACATTAAAGACAAAGAGCTAATTATGGGAATATACCAGAAACTTCCATGAACACCTGTGAATGAAGGTGACCAAAATTTTAGGTTGCTTACCACATAGTAGAACAAGGAGTTTGATCCTCCAGATAAAGTATTGAAGACCCATTCTATCTTTGGCCCACACTTTGCCATGTACCTGTTCCTTTGGGCTGTTCTTGGACTGTTTTCTTATTAAGTGGTAACAGTAAGAGTTTTCCTGAGTCCTGAGATTCTTTGCAAAGAATGAGAATAAACTGTTAGATTATGAGTATGTTCATTTGTAGCCACGATGGGGCAAAATTGGGTTACCCTGGACTCTAAATTTGACTAGTATAAGACATCAAGGAGTTCTAACACAACAGCATGTTTTTACCTGTGGATTCAGACATTAATTTGAGGTAGTTTCAGAACTCATTATAATTGCAAAAGACACAGTTGGTATTTCTATAGTGAACTTTTTGAAGGTGTAGAAAAATACTGCATTATTGCTTTGAGAAGCACTGTAGATAAAATCTGTTCACTTCTTCTATCCTTGTGTGCAATGTTTCACACTGTTCATACTACATCTGGCAGTAGTCCAAAATCTGGCATCTCATCAGAGTTTAGGATAACCACACCAATATGCAACATATTTTCTGTGTCTATCCTCAACCTCTATTTCCCCCTAGATTCTGCTTTGTCTGCAGGCAGAGCAAACTCTACACTAAAAGATACCTGGCCAGGAACTCATGCTTAAATCAAATACATTGCTGCACACATTGGGAAAATTGCTGAACAACACTTCTGCAAGTTGATCGACAGCTCCTATATCACATATCACTTACACTGTTAAATTGAGTCTCAAAAAAGCTTATAATGATTATCTACAATGATATGCAGATATTCCAGGCAACACCTTATGTGAAACTACAAAAGATTACTGAAGATGTTGGCAGGATGCACTATCATTCAACTTCCATTTGTGCCTATTCAAAATTATCTGAGTTTCCTATTTATACATAGCAGGTTTTCAAAGACAATTTGTTGTAACATATACACTTGACAATTTCCCTGTATCCCTTTATGTCTGTGAAGTTCCTAAGCCAGTACCACTGCACACTGTATTTTGGACACATAACTCTTTTTGTCTTTTTTGTTTTTTTTTCTAGTACCAGGAATCTAACTCAGGACCTTGTGCTTGCCAGGCAGGCACTGTACTGCTGAGCTAAATTCCCAGCCCCTGGACACATAACTCTTGATGAGTACTCCAGGGTTCTTTCTCCCTGAGAAAGAAGTCATGGACCTAAACAAAGATTAAGGAGACATGATAAATTAAGGAACATAAATCTCCCACTTGGACTAGACAGCAACTGTAGTGATACAATATTCTGCAGTGAGACACGTGTGATCTTCAGCTATGTGATATTTGGATAGTAATTTCTCTATAATCTGGTGTTTCAGCACTAAATAATGTGTGAAATAGGACTGAACTTCATAAGGTCATTAAAAGTATACAAGTGTCTAATGTATAAACAACGTCTTTCACATAGGAACCACTTATTTGCTAAGTGTATGGTCACAGGATATTGGACATAGGCTTGGAACATAGATGAGGCTGTAAGAGGGATAATTTTGTTTGTAAAAATATACATAGTGTAAGCAGGTAGACAAGATAGAGAAGAGCCACAGAGGTGAAATGTATCTCATTCAATCTTATGGTACATTTTGAAGTTTCCAGAGCAAAAGACCATGGAGGATGAACTATATTAAGCAGAAGATTAGACCCTGAAGGTGGAAAATGATAAGGTAGGGGTATTTCCTTTTGAAAATATGGAATTGCTTTGTAAAGAACTCAAAGCAATGCACTTGTTAGCAGTAAGATTCTGGAGGAAAGGGAAAATTGGCACTGCTAAAACCTACTTCCTCTTTTGAAAAGAAAAGTGGAGAGGGAAGAATTGATTTCTGGAACATATTGTATGGAACAATATCTTTTTATTTTAAGGTGGAATATTGACATCATACCACAGTGATACTATTTTTTCCCGTGATGACATCATAACTGTCTCTTCAGTATTTTTCTTCCATCCAAAATACTTCTTGGCTATGATTATGAGAGGTAAACTTAAAAAGTCCCAAGGGCCCAATAAGTCTTTCATAAGGATGGAAAGAATATTTACTTTGCCAGTGAACTTTTACATTTGTAGTGACAGATCTCAATATTAAAGACAGTAAAGTTTGTAGTTTCTTCTTGAATATTCATTTCTCTTTGGCTCCTGAACATCTACACTTGCATTATTTTACTAAACTTTATACAGAACAGTTAAGGTTCTAACGACCTAGAACTTTGTGTGGATTTTAACAGCATATACAAACTATGCCATATACAAACCATAACACTGTTCAACATACCATACATCTGCATATAATCAACTTGTGTTCTGAGTGTTTTCCTAAATTTCATGTGTGAAATCCTACTCCCCAATATGATGGTATGGAGTTGTGGAGATACTGGGAATGAATAAAGATCAGCAGGTCAGAACCCTTAATAATGAGATGCATGCACATATAAGAGGCTTCCCTTGCCATGGGAGAACATAGGTAGAATGTAACAGCTGTAACCAATATTTCACTAGACATGTATGTTGTGAGTGCTTTGGTGCTGGATTTATCAGCATTTATAGTTGAGAAAAATAATTTTCTTGTAAGCAGATAACACTGTGATATTTTGTTTAGGGGAGCTGCAATGTACAAAAACAAAGATTATGAACATTTTGTTGGTGAATGCTATACCAGTAGCAATGGTGGTGGCCACACCATGAAAAACAGTATTTACATTTATTCAGATTACATATTCATCTGAATAATGTACCTAGCCATGTGGACATGTTTCACAATTTTACTTCTCCCCCTAAATCATATAATTACTAGCATGGGTAACCAATGCAAGTTCGTGCAATATATTGCTACTTCATCTAGTGACAATACATTTTAGATGAAATCTTTGACAAAAATAAGTCTTCACATGGAATTAAAAACTAAAGGAAATAGTGACTCAGACAGAGACAGGGTCCAAGAGACACACACACATCTCTACACAGTATACTCAAACCTCCTTGAGGTGTGGTGGCATACACCTGTAATCCCAGTACTTGGGAGGCTGAGACAGGATCACAGTGAGTTCAAGCCAGCCTGGGTTACATAGTGAGCTGAAGGCCAATCAGAACTACACAGTGAG